CAATGATACTTGCCCTCAGCTGCCCACATAATGCCAGCTTTAGTTTACACTCAACATTCAGTGAATCAAACAGGTTGTAAACTTAGGTTTACCACACGTGGCAGGAGTTGATTTTTCATTTGTGAATAATTATGTCCTCGAGAGATCCGTTTTCACTGAGCATCAGTATCCATTATACAGTGTATGATAATACCCTGTAGACAGACAGTGAAAGGTAGTTTACTATGCTGAATCATCACAAGCAGAGGCAATGTGCTTTCATCTTCCAAACAAACCAGTAGGAGTGATGAAAATTGGAATATCTTTTTCTACAAATATTTTTACTGCTTACTTTGTGTGACTGTAATAAAATTATTTGTAATATGACACAGTTGCCTTCTGTATCTGTCGAGTTAAAAAAAACAAACAAAAAAGTGAACCTGTGCCCTAGTAAGACTTCTTTTAGCCCACATTTACATATGTAGCTTTAGCCACTGTGGATAAGTTCATCTTAAAGCGGTATTAAACCCAAAAGCAAATGTTTATTATATTGCAGCCTACCAATTCTTAGATGTGGTGGCTGCATTAGTTTTCTTTTTTTATGCTTTTATTTTCACCCGGTGATCTGACCGGCAAGTCTGCTGTTTTTTAACAGAACAAGCTGTCCTTTGGAGAAGTTAGAGGGATGATAAAAACCATTTACCACTGACAGGAAAGCTTACAATGGTCAGCTTGTATTTATTTATGAAAAACCTTTATTCCAAAAGAACAAAACTGTTTCTGTAACTGCTTATAAAGTGTGAGGTGGAGTATGACTTCAATTTGTTTACTGTTTTTAAATCTGTTGGTCCAGTGGTCTCCAAACTGCGACCCGGGGCTGGATGCGGACCTTTGCTTGCTTTTATCCGGCCCTTGGGGCACTATTTCATCCACTGATATCAACAACGAAGCATAATTCCCCTTACTAACACCAACTAAGAGGCACAATTCCTTTCAATGATACCAATGATGGGGCACAATTCCTCCCAATGACACCAACTATGGGGCACAATTCCTCTCAATAACACCAACGACAGGTCACAGTTCCTCCCACTGACACAAACAATGAATCGCAATTCTTCCCACTGACACCAAAATGGACCATTGTCCCTCCAACTGACACCAAAGATGGGGCATTGTCTATTCTCACTGACGTCAGGGCTTTCTCTACTCCCAAATGGCCACAGTTTGGCCTCCCTAAAGTCTGAAGGACAGTAAACTTGCTCTTTGTTTAGAAAGTTTGGAGACCCCTTTGCTAATACATCTAACACTCCCTCCCTGTAGACTAACAATGGTGCTGTCCAAAGATGTCTTTTTTGCACCTTTCAGAGTATAGGCACTCTAATAAAGGGAGTATGTCACTGGCCAGATCACCAGGTGAAAACAGAGGGGAAAAAAACATAAAAATGAAAAATAATGCAGCCACCACATCTAATGATTGATAAGCTGCAATATATTACATTTTTTGTTTTTGGTTTAATACTGCTTTAACAACAGAGGCACTGAAATCATAACTTCTTTCCCAGTTATTTTCTTTGGAGGGCCTGCCAGCCCGCAAATGTAAAGCCACCTAAAGTGTTTTATAAACTGTTGAAAACTATCCAAAACCTGACTTTGTTGTTATCTTTGAGGATTTTGAGAATTAATTACTTCACAGTACGTTCAGCCAGAGACCTCAGTGAAGACTTAATATAAGCAAGCCAACAAATAAATAACTACATTCTGAAAGTTATCAAAAGAGGCACTGAGATCACTACTTTTTCCCCTTTTATTTTCTGAGGAGAGTAGAATTTTAGCAGCCTGCCAGTCCTCAAATCTAAACACACAGCTGGTGTTTCTAAGCTGTTACAAACCAAATGAAACCTGATTTTTAAGTATTTTAGGATTTTGAGATTTAATTACTTCACAGTACAGGCAGCTAGGGAGGTCAGTTGGGGACTTATTTTAAAGTTCTTTAACTGCTTATTAATAATATACAATTAATATCTATAGTCTGAGCATGTTTGCATAAAGTATTCATACACCCAGTAACATTTTACATTACAGATAGTTATAACATAACCATGCACCAATTTGACCAAGATTGGATAGACAATTATCTCAGAGTACAAGGACTGACTTTTAAGACTTTGACAGGATGTTTGAGAAAACCTTCAAGCGATCCTGCTTGTTCTTTATTGATAAAACAGTTGTGAGCTGGTTTCATGGGTCAGTTAGATAACTCCAGACTAAAGTTAGCCTTACCCACATAGATTTCTTGTAGATTACCCCTGCCTGCTATTGTATTCAGACAGGTGGCATCTGCGGCTGTCTGAGTACCTGAACAGACTGCATCTGCAGTTTTTCACCCTCCTCCTTCGTTGAAGTTTGTCAAGCCAGGTGGTACTAACAGGGCCCCCGCATCTTGAATTTTGGCCATTTTGCAGGCATTTAAGCTGTGTAGCTATATTCAGACCACAGTCACTAAATATGAACATTCTGTAAACAGTAACATTGAATTTGGTATAAAGAATTCTATTTTTTCACTGCCCCATAACATCAAGTTTGACTGAAAGATTGAGTTAAATTTTACACTTTTATGTTTTTCTTCCTGAGTCAGTGGAAATGAACTACACCTAGAGACAAACTAGAGTCCATTATTTTGCTTTAATAGGCCTTTATCATGCAGGATCTAATGATAATGTGCTTTCTGCATTTTATTAAAATACTTGATTGTGAACTCTGGCACAGCAGTCCAAATAACATATCATTTGGGTACTTTCTTTCTAACTGTGCTAAATTTGTAATTCAGGCTACAAAGAGGAGAAATAGTTAAGGCAGGACAAACTACTGACACTTAATAACAGCGGTTCTCAGAGTACAACCTGATTATAACATGTTGCTGTGACATTTGGAAATGTGCTAGTAGCGGTCATTATGAATATATAACTCACTATAAAAAGTATAATTTATCTAGATATGGGATAGGAGAGAAAAGACTTAATATTTGATATTTTTATGCAGGTTTATAATTCAGCTTGTGAATAATTACATATTGGGGGAGATAACTGGTCATTCTGCAAAGAAGAGCTTCTGTTTTTTGTGTCTGTATGTTGCCCATCATAGATAAATGTACTGGGTTTTCATGCAGACTTTCAGTGCCAGGGGTAGTCTTTGATACACTAACATTAGAAAGAGCTCTTATGACCCTTCATTCATACTAGAGTTTTAACTGCTTAGTAATCATGCCCTTCTCTGTCACTCTGGGATTATGAATGTGTGTCAACTTTACCATGTTAGTCAGAAATGTTACCTGAACTAGAGATTATGTTTATCTCCGGGCAGTCATGAAGTGTTACTGACTTTTCTAAATTCACTGTATAATGGATTAGACAAAGCTAGGAACTCAATCTTCTGCTTAAAAAGATGGAAACACCAGCTCTTGGACAAGGGCGTCGTTTGCAATTTTTTGACTTTCTGTGTATAGACTTTTATTTTTGCTTTTTTTGCTGAATCATAGAGCACCTTTTAAAGGAGATAACAGCTTACACTTTAATTTTATAACATCAGCATTGTAAAGCCAATACAAACAATAGTTCTAGCTGACAATTCAATATAAGCTTACTTCAAAAATCCCCTTTCATGTTATAGCGCTACCCACGCAGGGACCGCTTCATAATGTTTGTCCCCAGTGGTTGCCCTGACCTTGAAAGCCTTCCCAAACCTCTGACACTCTGAGTTCCGACTTTTTTCAAAAGTATGAAATAATAATGCAAGGGACAGGATTCTTTAGTAACACCTCTATATTAGGATCATTCAAAAGAGTAGACCACAGAATGAAGGTTTAGGAGGTATGCCCAATGTTAATGTATAAAAGGAAAACACTGGTAAAATGAAAATATCAAAACAACAACGGTTAACAGATTATAGGGCCACAAATGGCACATTGTAGTTATGTGCTAACTGCAACATCAGCAGCAGGAGGGGGAAGAAAAGGCTTGTTGACTTATCAGCTCCCTCTGGGCCAACAGCATCACAATAGGAAATGCAATAAATTATGTAATTACATAAATATATATATATATATATATATATATATATATATATATAGATAGATAGATATATATACAGTCCTCAGCATAAATGAGTACACTCCTTTTGAAAATTAAGATTTTAATAAATATCACAATGAACACAAGAATTTTGACAAAACTGAGTTTTATAGAACATTTGTTTAGCTCATTACATGGAAGTAAGGTTAATAATATAACTTAGATTACAAGACCTCCAGTTTTACTCAAATTAGTTGATGCAAAATTAAATACACCCCACAACGAAAAACTACTACATCTAGTATTTTGTATGACCTCCATGATTTGTAAGGATAGCACCAAGTCTTCTAGTCATGGAATAAACAAGTTGGTGGCATACTGCAACATCGATCTTTTTCCATTCTTCAAGAATGGCCTCTTTTAGAGCCTGGATGCTGGATGGAGAGTGATGCTCTACTTGTCTCTTCAGAATTCCCTATAGGTGTTCAATTGGGTTCAGATCAGGAGACATACATGGTCACTGAATCACTTTCACCTTGTTCTTCAGAAACGCAACAGTAGCCTAGTTGTGTGTTTTGGATTGTTGTCATGTTGGAAAAGTGCATGATGACCAATAGATGGTAGCATCTTCTCTTTCAATATAGAGCAGTACATTTGTGAATTCATGATACCATCAATGATATGCAACTCCCGACACCAGCAGCACTCATGCAGCCCCACAGAAGGACACTGCCACTACCATGTTTAATTGTAGGCACCATGCATTTTTCTTTGTACTCCTCACCTTTGCGACGCCATACAGTTTTGAAGCCATCAGATCTAAAAACATTTATCTTGGTCTCATCCCTCCAGAGTACAGAGTCCCAGTAGTCTTATTTTTTTTTAGCATATGCCCTGGCAAATTCTAGGCAGGATTTTTTGTGCATGGGCTTTAGGAGAGTCTTCCTTTGTGGACGACACCCATGCATGCCATTCCTCTGCAGTGTATGCCGTATTGTGTCACAGGAAACAATCACCCCAGTTTGGCTTTTTACTTCTTTAGCCACTTGCCCTCCAGAGGATTTACCCTCCTTCCTGACCAGGCCATGTTTTGCTATACGGCGCTGCGTAACTGACAATTGTGTGGTAAGGCAACGCCGCACCCAGATGAAATTTATCTCCTTTTTCCCCACGAATTGAGCTTTCTTTTGGTGGTATTTGATCGCCTGTGCTTTTTTTTGTGCTATAAGCAAAAAAAGACCAACAACTTTGAGAAAAAAAACAATATTTTGGACTTTTGGCTATTGCACATGACCAGTAAAAAAATTTAAAAAATCAAATCTTGTCATAAATTTAGGCCAAAATATATTCTGCTACATGTCTTTGCTAAAAAAAATCCCAATATGTGTAAATTAATTGGTTTACGCGAAAGCTAAAGCGTTTACAAATGTCGGTATAAATACTGGGATTTTTTTTTCCCTACAAGTAATGGCGGTTATCTGCAAATTTTAGTGGGACTACAGGACTGCGGCGGGCATTCTGACACTGGGGGGAAAATAAATTAACATCCCCAGTGACACCAATACAATGATGAGTGCTAAAAAACAGCACTGACACTGTACTAATGACACTGGGCAGGAAGGGGTTAATGTGAGGGTCAATCAAAGGGTTAACTGTGTGTGGAGTGTTTTACTAGGGGGCAGGGGGTGTGTGCTTCACTTTAAGCACACTGATCAGGATGGCTGTGCTGTGCACAGCCATCCCGAGCAGTGTCCCCGAGCTGACAGGGAGGAAGACTGTTTGTAAACAAAACAGTCTTCCTCCCCGTCAGTGATTGTCGGTAATTACCAGGCGCCGACGGGTATTATTGGCCGGGACCCGATGATTGACATCTGCGGCCGCGAATGGCGGCGCGGGTAGGGCGCACGTGTGCCCCATATACGGAGATGCAAAATCATATACGTGATTTTGTGCACCAGTGCCGCCCTGTAGCAGTATATCTGCTATATGGCGGCGGGTAAGTGGTTAGCTAACTGCAGTGAACTTGCATGGTGATTTTTTTTTAACCTTTCTCATCAGAAGATGCTCCTGTCGAGTTGTTAACTTCTGTGGATGGGCTGGACGTCTTTGTTACATTTTTCTGTCACTTTTACTATAGTATTCTGACTGATAAGTAAAGCGTTGCTGATCTTCTTGTAGCCTTCACCTGTCTTGCGTAAAGAAATTATTTTCTTTCTCAGGCCTTGTGACATTTACCTTCCATGTGGTGTCATTGCTGACAGCATGAAATGGGAGGGGTTTTCTTTGTTAAGTAATCCTGACTGCGGGACACCTGTTTAATGAATAATTCACCTGTAGTTGAATTCTTGTTAATTAGGATTTTGTTGTCCTAAGACTTTCATTGGGGTGTATTAATTTTTGCAACATGGTCTTGAATGAAATTGTTAGGAAAAATACTTTTTTGTGTGTGAAAATTAACAAATCTTGTTTGCAATCAATGGCCTGCATTTTTGGGAGTATTTTGTAGTATATTGTCCCATAGAAAATGTTGATTCTGTAGGGAAATTAAAGGTTTTCTGACAAATCTGTTGGGCTGTATGCATTCATGCTGGGCACTGTATATATACGATAGATAGATAGATAGATAGATAGATAGATAGATAGATAGATAGATAGATAGATACTCTGGCATAAATGGGTATAGACACCACAATTTGAATAACAATGGCTTAGACATGAAGAGGTCCCTTTAACCAGAAGTAGCAACGTGAGTCCTGAGATGTTTAAAATTTGTTATGTCATAGTGGCCATTGTCTTCTGCTAGCAATAGTGGGGCCCATATACAGTAGTGTGTAATGGTAATTCGATGAAGATAACAGATAGGCTGTGGTAAATGCTCAAAGCATGGGTAGCACAGTCTCCTAGGAACAGAGTTCTTGCACAGGTTCTTGGCTGTTCTCAGAGAAGTGCAAAGTTACCGCCTGACAGCCTGTCAGCATGGCAAGCTGAAATGACTGGCTGAAGAATGGATAGTGACAGTCCTGATACAGAAAAGCTGATTTGATCTCAGTGTGATCAGCATCACTGCTGTGCTGAACTGGTATGCAGAGTCCCACAGTAGTAGCCAGCAAGCTGTCCCTCTGTGTTCAGCTCTGAATCCTGCACCCAGAGAGCCAACCAGTTCCTTGATGTAGAACATATCTGCTCTCCCAGCAGTCTTCTGGTTCCCCATCTCTCTGGTAGTTGTAGTTCAATCAGCACTTTTTTGGCTATATTACTACAGGTCCCAGGATACTCTGCTGTCAGAAGAACTGGATCCACTCTGCTATCAGGAAGTATATGATGTAGCAGTCCCAGTACTGGGTACTAGGGGGAAAAAGAATTAACCATAGTCTCATCTGTAAATGTCCCTGAATGGCATAATGAAATATCAGGACCTAGCTACATCGTTGTGAGTTCTGCTTGTCTTCTGGTCATCTTATTCCACAACTTCCTGGATTCTCTGCATGCTTCCAGCTTTCCATGGTGCCTTGCTACCTGCAAGCAGTGATTCCTATACTAACTCCACCTGCTAAAACTCCTCCTCTTGGCACCTCTGCAGTTCAGAAGGTAGGCTCTGTGAAATGTGTGACACAGCAGGGCCTACTCACAGGGCACAGTGAATATGTGTCATCGAATTCAAGGAAGTACATATATGGAGATTTTTTACAAAGTAAATTTACAGACTTTAAGATTGTTCAAACTTGGGGTTTGTTGGGGTTCATTCAAATGTAGTGCTTTTCATCAATTCCAGTCTAGTCAATGAAGTACATTTCAGGGTTTTTGCCCAGTTACAAAACGCACACAAGGTTACCCTCACAGGGGATTTCAGCATTGCAACAACAAAACAGAAACATTTCCAGCCTACTGCCTTTCCAGACTCTGTAGTCCCCGATCCTTTCTCCACACAGACTCACCACGTTCTCACATTCAGTTTTATGACAAACTGCCCAACTTGTACTGCATAGGCTCTTGTCTAATTACACACGAGGGATTGTTTATTAAACCTGGAGTGTGTAAAATCTGGTGCCGCTCTGCAGAGAAACCAATCAGTTTCCAGGTTTTATTGTCAAAGCTTAATTGAGCAAGCTGAAGTTAGAAGCTGATTGGCTACCATGCACAGCTGCACCAGGTTCTGAGTACACCAGTTTAACCACTTCCCGTCCGACCCATATACATAAATGGCCGAACGGGAGCAGTGCAGGAGCGGGTTGCCGTTTATAAACAGGGCCTGCATTCAGAGCCTGTGCGCGCTGCCTGGGAGCACGCAGTACCGTGATCTGGTGCCGATCACCGATCGCTGTACTGGACCTCTGTGTAAGGTACTGATCATGTGATCACTGATTGGCCTATCAGTGATCACATGAACAGTAGTAAGCAAGATGTCACTTCCTGACGTCAATGCTTACTACGTGTGAAATCTGTGAATGATCACAAAGGTCACATGGTAGAAGGCTATTCACAACAGCCTTGTACCATGTGACAAACTGTGACCAATCACAGCTCTCACAGTATTTCTCAATAGCTGTAAAAATGCAGCCAGAGAGAAGGAGAGATGTTTGCTTTTACAGCCTTTATGGGTGTAATAGCAATCAGTGTAAAAAAAAAAAAAAAATCTTCATCACCCCCCACAAGTAGTACAGTTTCACTGTACTGCAAGGGTGACAGTATGTTTAAAAAACCACATAAATAATAATATATAAAAAAATTAAAATGTAAAACAAATTTTGAAAAATTATAATTTTTGGTTATAAACTAATTTGGGTTTTTTTTTACTAAAAAGATAACTGAATAAATGTTGGCCAAGACTTATGAAGAAAGATTATTTATTTGCAAAATTTTATTTAAAAAAAACACTTTTTTTTCAAAATGTTGGACTTTTTCATTTATATAGCAAAAAAAAAAAATCCCAGTGGTGAAAAAATACCACCAAAATAAAGATTTATCTGTCTCAAAAAAAGGCGAAAAAATTCATATGGGTACAGTGTTGCATGACCGCACAATTGTCATTCAAAGTGTGATAGCGCTGAAAGTTGAAAATTGGCCTGGTCTGAAAGGGGTGAAAGTGTCTGGATTTGAAGTGGTTAAATAAATCTCCTCCACTGTCTCTTAGTACCTCTTCAGGCGAAGTCCTGGTCAGATGAGATTGCCTCTCCTTGAGGCCAGTGTAGACACTCTCCCAGTGTTTCTGCACACACACTGCTCCTGCAACAGCTTGTCTCCAGTGGAAAGAGCCCTGAACCATAGACAGCCTGTTGACTATAACACCCCAGACACATCAAGCCCAACTTTGAAATCTTGCGACTTACACTGAGGTCCCACGATTTCAAAGTCGGGTGAGATGCCGATTTCAGGTGTGATTTGACATCTGACACAGATGTCTATGCAAATCGCACCAAAAGTAGTGCATGTACTACTTTAGAAATCAGTGCGGCTCCGACCAACTTGGAACTGCACCGATTTGACTGCTAGAATTGTGGATAATAGGGTGCGACTTGGCATATGATTTGCAAGTCGCATGGCATGAAAATCGCATGCCAAGTTGCACACAGTGCGACCGGGGTGTATAGGCTGTACACACATCAGTTTGCTGGTTTACTGTAAAATGTACATGCAATCCCTGTGTTACCAGTCCTAGAGAAAACTGCAAAATCTGGTTGACATCTAACCCTTCTGACACCATGACAAGGCACAGTACTGTCACACAAGAATTCATTGAAATACAATGTGGAAATTAATATATGATTTTACATTTTTAGACTATAGATACATTTTATTTTATTAGGGCATTGAAATTGAAGAACAAAGATGTAATATATTGCAGCTTACCAGCCCTTAGATGTAATGGCTGCACTTGGGCCTGTATGGATGGGCTTTTGTTTGCTTCAGATATGTTTTGCATTACAAAACAAATTTACACGTATGCAAATCCCTCTTGGAACATCAGAAAGAACTGCAGGTCAAAAGCTTGTGTCAGTAAATTCTAAAAGATCTCAGAAGCATCTCAAACCAATGTCAAGCTGATGACATTGACACAAATTTTCCTTAAAGTGGTCGTAAAGCCAAACATTTTTTCAACCACTTGCCCTCCAGAGGATTTACTCTCCTTCCTGACCAGGCCATTTTTTGTGATACAGCACTGCGTTACTTTAACTGACAATTGCGCAGTCATGCAACTTTGCACCCAAATTAAATTTACATCCTTTTTCCCCCATAAATAGAGCTTTCTTTTGGTGGTATTTGATCGCCTATGCGTTTTTATTTTTTGTTCTATAAACAAAAAAAGACTGACAGTTTAGAAAAAAAACTATATTTTTGACTATCTGCATTTTACATGTCCAGTAAAAAAATAAAAAAAAACAAAGTTTGTCAGAAATTTAAGCCAAAATGTATTCTGCTACATGTCTAAAAAAAATCCTAATATGTGTAAATGAATTGATTTATGTGAAACTTATAGTGTTTACAAATGTCGGTATATATACTGGAATTTTTTTAAATAAAATTTTCACTGCAGTGCGCGTTCTGACACTGGTGGGAACTGACTTGGTGTCACTGACATCCCAAGTGACACCAATACTGTGATCAGTGCTAATAAAAAGACTGACACTGTACTAATGGCACTGGGCAGGAAGAGGTTAACATTTGGGGCAATCAAAGGGTTAACTGTGTGCTGTTTTACTATGTGGGCTGTGTGTGTGTGTGTTTCACTGTAAGCACACTGCTTTGTATGGCTGTGTTATGCAGAGCCATACAAATCAGTGTGCAGGAGCTGACAGGGGGGAGATCTGTATTGTTTACACACAGGTCTCTCCCCCGTTGGAAATCCTCGGAGATCGCCGGGTACTGGCGGGGAATCACCGCGAATGGTGGCATGGGTAGGGCGCGTGTGCACCCTCTACCCAGAACTGCGAAATCACGTATGTATACGTGATTTTGTGCACCCATGCCACCCTGTAGCAGTAGTTCTGCTGACCTGGGGAGCCTCAAGGAATTCTTGTAATTTGCAGGGGTTTCCTCTCACGTCCTATGGGACAGGAAGTGAAGGGAAATCTTCCCAATGGGACACAGATGGCAGAAAAAAAGATCTAACAGGGGTTATAATCCTCTTTTATCTATCCAAAATTAAAGAAAAAAAAAAGTTTTGCCTATACTTCTACTTTGAGTACAAGCCCAGTCTTAGTCATGAATGGAACAGTCATCAGTGTGCATGAGC